GGCTCTCTTTTAAGGTAAAACTGACCAACACCCTGAGTGGGTCACAATTATCTTATTTGCACAGCCCCACCCAATCACCTGGGTGGGAGTCACAAGACCATGGCTAGAAAGGCCACACATAAAAGTAATTAATCACACCAAAATGAAACAATACAAGGATCATCATAAGATAACCCTAGGATGAATGACATGAAACACTCCTTTATAAAGCAAACAGTAAAACTATACATAAAGCTACTTTTTCACTAAGAAGTAATATAGGCAAAAAAAAAAAAATCTATTCCAAAGTGGTTTAGAGAAATTAATGACTAGAAAATTCATAACAGGTGATTACTGGAAAATCAGAGGTTTAGAAGTCATCTTTTATCTTCTAGCATGATGCCAAGAACGAAGACCATTCCTGTCCACAATGACTTCTGGTAAAATGTTGAATCCTGACCAGGCAGCTTAAGGGTCCAAGCACTATGACCATTCTTATACAGCCATGAAAACTGATTTGAAATGACCTCCTTCTTCTTCAACCTGCTTGTTGCCCTTTTTTCTCCTAGTCTTCCATTTTGTCCTTTTAATCTTTTTTTAGTCAATCATTCAATCAGTGTTTACTGAGCCCATACTATGTGCCAGAAAGAAAGACATGGCAGTCTACTTCCGTAAAGATTTACAGCCTTGGAAATCCTATGGGGCAGTCATACGTTGTCCCATAGGGTCACTATAAGTCGGAATCAACTTGATGGCAACGAGTTTGATTTTTTTAGTTTACTATGCACCAGCATTCTACAGGCCTTACTATTGAACCTCACTAGCCTATCATTCATATTATTCAAACAAAAGCACTAAAGGGAGATGGAAGTAGAGAGAAGTGGAATATTTATGCATTTTTTAAAAAAAATCAGATGATAGACAGGTAGGCAGATAGACAGACAGATAGAGCTGGAGATACAGAGTCCCTGCGTGGTATAAACGATTAATGCACTCGGCTCTGCTGCTAAACAAAAGGTTGAAGGTTAGGTCCACACAGAGGTGTCTCAGAAGAAAAGCCTGGCTATCTACTTCTGAAAAGTCGGCGACTGAAAACTCTATGAAGCACAGCTCTACTCTGACATATGTAGGGTTGCCATGAGTCAGAATTGACTTGATGGCAACTGGTACTGCTATGGGGGTGTATGCATATGCGTGTGTATGTGTGTGTGCGTGTGTGCACATGTGTATGCGTGTGTATGCGTGCCTGTGTGTGTGTACGCATGCGTGTGTGTGTGTGCGCATGTGTGTGTATTTTATATATACACATGTCTTCACCTCACTGGTCACCAAAATAAATCTGAAGTTCGGTTACACAGCACCCAAGTTCATAAAATTAACTTCTTTCCAACATAACTATTTTTTTTAATGCAGCATTATATTAGCTTATACTATGTTACAAAGCTGAAGCCAAAAGTTCAGTTGTGGCTTTCTAAGATGTCTATTCTTAGACTTTCTGCTAACACACATACCTCCTGTAATAAACATCCTGCAATGATCAAGAGCAAAATTCACCATCATAACTCTCAAGAGTTTTCTCCAAGTTGTTCATCAAGTTACGTAATAGGTCAGATATATCTCCCACCAAAAAAATCTCATGTTCCTTAGCTCACACACAAGGAGGAATATCTATGAAGTGAAATAAAAATGATAGGCCAGCAAACCTCATGTATTTGCTAGAGAAAACATTTTTTTGTTTACTGAATTATAATTAACTTGGTTTTTCCTTTTGACTACAAGCAGCTTGAGGGCAGAGATGAGGTCTGT